GCCCCAAGTGCCCTCTTGAATCGACGACGACGACGATGACGACGAAGACGACGACGACGACGACGACGATGACGACGACGACGACGACGACGACGACGACGACGACGACGACGACGACGATGACGGCACGCCCCAACAGGCTCCCCAAGACGCACCAAATCCATGCTCCCAGAAGGCCTTCTGGGAACCCGATTCATACGGCCTCCGCCCCCCTACACAACCATTTTCCTCGAAGGCCTTTCGGAATGCAAATTGGCATGCGTGGACTGTGGTCCACTACTTCAGTGGAGCAGTGAATTCGTCAAGGTCTGCTGTCTGCTAGAACCTTAGCGCGCGCAAAGCGCGCGCGATGGTTCTAGCACGTATATATACATAAATATAGATATGTACAGAACTAGTGTTTGTATATATATATATAGATATGTTTGGGGCCCACGCTGGCTAACATAAACTCCTCCCCGAAAGGGAAGAGGGAAGATGGAAGTGGGAACGCCTTAAATCGCATCCGCCCAGAGGGCTGGTGGGATTCCTCCTCTTGGTTGCTTCTCTCCATCCTGTGCTCCTCTCCGTCCTCTCCATCCTCCTGCGTCTACATCCGTCAACGATGCTGCTCGCATACCTGCTTACACCTACGTATGTTTGGTCATGCTGGCTCCCCGTGTTCATGCTTCGATTCTTCCTTGGCGTCCTGCTCATAGTCTTTCTCTCACCCCTGCTCGGTCATTTGGTAATTTGCTCCCTCTGTCTCCTCGACCTGTTCCAGTGTTTCGGCGTATCAGCAAAATCCACGCCTCGCGAACTCCCAGGCCTTCTCCGCCTCCCGCGGCGCAGCCACGCCCACAGAGCTGGCTCTATTGCATCACAGCCCCGTCCGCGCAGAACGACAGGGGAGGGCCCCTCCTCCTCCTCCTCCTCCTCCTCTTCCTCCTCCTCCTTCTCCTCCCATCTTCCTCCTCCTCCTCCTCCTCCTCCTCTCTTCCTCTTCCTCCTCCTCTTCCCTCCCCGCGCCCCCCCCCTCTTCTTCCTCATCTTCATCCTCCCGCCCAATCGCCCAAGCCTCCCCCCCCTCCTCCTCCTCCTTCCCTTCCTCCTCCTCCTCCTCCTCCTCCTCCTCCTCCTCCTCCTCCTCCTCCTCTGGCTCCTGCCCCCCTCTCCTTCAACCCAGTGTACCTGTCCCAGGTCCCACAAGTTCTGCCGGGCCGAGGGCCCATCGTCGCCTCCCCGATGGCCTCCCAGACGGCGCGCTCGGCCTCCGATCCGGGCAGCTTTTCTTGTCCGGTCGCTCGGGAAGAAATCCCTCCTCCGCCCCCCGAGCAAAAACAAATACATGCCTACAGTTGGGAAGGGTTCGGGCTGCGCACAGACAGCCCCATCAGGTAGTCCCGGCTGGCCTCAGCAGGCCCCCCCAAGCAGTCCAGGGCGGTCTCAACACCTTGCCGCCGTTCTGGCGGCGCCCCATGGGGCGCTCCGCGCCCCCGGGTTGGGGTGTCGAGACCGCCCGGCGCTACCCGCAGGACAAGTGGAGGCCACCCGGGACCACTTGGCTATCTGTGCACAGCCCGAAGCTTCACCATCTGCAGTCACGCCCGCCTGCATCGCTGCCAGCTCATATGGCGCATGAGGGCGAGCGTGTCTTTGCAGAACATGCTGCAGACAGGTGCGCACGTGCACCCCCAGGCTTCCAGCGATGTAGATGTTTTCCATGCGCGGCCCCAGAGGCCCCGACCCCTCTCCCGGGGGTAGCGTTTCGCCCTGGATCCATTTCTGGTTGTCCTGGGCACCCCACCGCGGCCCCAAGAGCCCGAAGCGAAGGGAAACGCTGGACTGGAGAAACCAACCTTGCGCATGCCTGGGAGGGCCCCCCTCCTCCTCCTCCTCCTCCTCCTCCTCTCCTCTCCTCCTCCTCCTCCTCCTCCTCCTCCTCCTCCTCCTCACATCATCATCATCATCATCATCAGCAGCAGCATCATCATCATCATCATCCATCTCCTCCTGATGCTGCTCCTCCTCTTCCTCCTCACCATCAGCAGCATCATCATACTCATCATCATCATCATCATCATCATCATCATCATCATCATCATCATCATCATCATCATCATCATCATCATCATCATCATCAGCAGCAGCAGCAGCAGCAGCATCATCATCACATCATCATCCATCTTCTCCTCCTCCTCCTGCTGCTCCTCCTGCTGCTCCTCCTGCTGCTGCTGCTCCTCCTTCGCCTCCTCCTCCTCCTCCTCCTCCTCCTTCTTCTCCTCCTCCTCCTCCTTCTTCTCCTCCTCCTCCTCCTCCTCCTCCTCCTCCTCCTCTCCCCTGCGCCTCCCGCCCCCCCCCCTCCCCCTCCTCTCCCGACTCTGCCTCATCCCGCAAGAGCGCCCAAGCGGACTCCGAGGGCGGCGCGGGCGCGGCGGGCGCTGGCGCTGGCGCGGCGGCGGCGGCGTCCGGGGCACCCAGAGGGCGGCGCCCGAGCGAGACCAGCCGAGGGGGCGCGGGC